TAAATTGCACATAAATATTACACATAAATATTTTTTTCACAATTTTACTACATCAATAATTACAATTTATTAAAGATACATTATGTATCTTACAAAGAAGATTTCGAAGAAATCGAAGTGCTATAGTTTTCTTAAGGTAATTATTAATAATAATTTATTTAATGACAATTTATTATTTAATGTCAATACAAAGAAATATTTTCTTTTGCTTCCGAAAGCCTCGCTTTGAAGGATACGTCTTATTTCGTAAATAACCCCTTCAATTAATTGCATGGAAAAAGTATATCGATCGTTTATTGTCTTCATACAATTCACTCAATTTTATCAGACGTATTATTATCAGTATTGCGTGTGAGCGCGTTGTCGACATTTTAAAACGATCGTATATGTACACACCAGCACAATAAAGTAAAATTGTTAACGTTTTGTGCAAGATTTCAAGCAAACAAACAAATGTAGTTTTATCGAATTCTGTGGTTTTTAATTTCGCATTCGTTTCAAACGTACGTCAAAAAGATTCGTTATATTTGGTTATGCATGGTTTTTGTGTTGAGCGCTTTTTTTCTCTTTATTTTTCTTTCACCCGAATACGGCGAGTTTCGCTCAGTGCATTTAATGCAATTCTGTTCAATCCTTTGTACGCTTGACGTTCTTTTTATCATGATACCAAACGTTAATTAATAGCGCTTTAATTTTCAATAATTCTGTACTGAGCACTAATTGCGAATTGCTGTTGGAAAATGGATTACCGAAAAAAATCATGCAATAACTTGTTAAGTAATATATCGCTTGTAAATTTAATATAAATGTAAGTAATGCAGTAAGGCAAAACGTATCACGACATAATTATTATGTCGTGACGAAAGATTAACATTGCATTGATTACACAGAATTTCATATGTGACAAAAATTGTGACAAATAAAAAGATATATTTTCAACTTATGAGTCTTTCGCTGATTTAACGTTTCAGTAATTATCTTGATAAAGTGGATTTTGCAAATGGGTAATTTCCTATTGCTCAAAGTTATTTTTATACAGTGAAAATTTTATTTTTTATAACAAAAAAAGAATGAAGATTGTGTGAATTCATTATTTAAGTTTAGTAAGTAATAATAGCTTGCTTAGAGAACAGTCAATAAATAGAATTTAATCAAACGTACTTTAGTATTAAAAACGATTAGCGAATGCTAACATGTCATGAATTATTTTTTTAAATTCATTAGTCATTTTCTGGTGGAAATGTTTCTATCGCTTCAATTAAATGAGAATTGAATATACTCGTATTATATTTGAATAACAAATATTAAAATTATTTAAAAAATTGCAAGATATATAATATACATAATAATGTATTACGAATATGACGAGTATTAAAAAGCCGCATGCTATTTTTCGGAAAAGTATCAATTTTATTTGAAAATCGTAAAAAAGGCCCAATCATTTATAGATGTTATTTACCGCTACGTTCAATATTTACACAGTATTTATATCTTAATTTTGTTAAATAATTTATTATCCAGTTAAATAGTTTATTATTTATAAATGCACATACTTCATTCGTTCTATTTTTCTCTCATTCGATCTTGACTCGCGTAATCTAAGATTATTCTATCGATTGAATATTTCTATCACATCGACGTGATTTTCGCAGTTGGCGATGTATGTTTGCAGGAGGTTGTCTTAGTGTAAGTACAACTTCTTGCTTTTCATTAATGTTGGTGACAATAAAAAATTATGGAAAATTAATTTCTAAATTAATTATTGAAAGTTGGTAGCTATTAAAAATAACTAATATGTATTTTTAATCTATAAAATTAAAATCTCTTTCCAATTTATTAAATGTAATCATTACATTGAATGCAAGCGTGGTGTAGCAGACATCGGGAAGCAACATACTGGTCTGCTATACCAAAGATCCCGGGTTCGATGCCCGGCAGAACGAAAAATTTTCGCTTATAGCTCCTTTTGGAAGGCAAATAAACCATCGAATAATATATTTGCCCAGAAAACTTCTCTTCAAAAATTATCGTTCGGAATCGACGTTTAAACTGTAGGTCTCCCATATACCTTGTGTACGATCAGTGTGCGCCCACAGGTTTATGAGAGGAAACGCCTATACGCTGGTGACAACGTATGGTACTTGAAAAAGAAGAATCATTATATTTATTGTAAATTATTCAACTTGTAAGTATCTTAATAGCGAATTTATTTCTGTCGGAATTTTTTCTCCTAAAACTTTTTGTTTTTTAAAATTTTTCAATATTTTATATTCTGATAGAAAAATGGAATTGTCTTCATATTCTTAATTCTTATATTAATATTTAATTACTTGTTAAATTTAGATACCGTTATTATTTAATTAAATTAATTCCAAGCGGCATTATTGTTTTATCGCTGTTGCAATAAATATGTGATGGGTGCGTTCCGAAATACGCATGAAGCGCGATGTATCGTTTTATCTTTCTTTATTATTTGGTGAACAACGAGGACAAATGATGATAACTCGGAACACAACCGATGATTAAATATAGTATTTATATAACAATTAAATTGTGTGATAAAACAAGGAGTTAATTAAAATTGATTTTCTTATTTTCTTTAATAATTCATCAAAAGCTAAAGTTGAAATTAGGGACTCTAACATATTGTCTCACCGTATTAATTAGGGATTAAATGCCATATTTGCTACAATCGTCGTCGACGCGAATATTAACGATTGTATCATCATTTATAACAAGTAAATACATAGCTCTATCATAGAAAATGTGTGCGTTGTTTTCCTAACAATCTAGTGCGGAGTAGATTTGTTTCGTTTTTCTCTCGCTAGGAGAATAATTTCTTGAGTCTACGATACTAAGTGCACGCCTCTTTATTTCCTTAACGCTTCGGCGTTCACTGGACGAGTTTCAATCGAATAGCATATACTATTGTACAATATCCGGCATAGATCGATCGGAATCGATCGCTGCAATGTAATCAGTCAGGGAGAAAAATTCGTCCGAGTTTCGAGAAGAAGTTACTGTCATGAAGTTCTACTTTCTCGTTGACCCGATCTCTTCTCGATCAATTGGTGAACGAAAGAAAAATCGTATGCCGGAAATTGTTCTTTACGAAGAACGATCAATGGTCATTCGAGTGATGGCGTAAAAACGCTCTTAAAGTACGGGCGTTGCATTTTAATGGCAGTAGTAATGGGGAATTTTTATTTTTTCCCTCACCGTAATAATATGTATATATTTACAGTCCAACGTACTACAATATTATATCTAGAATGTACGAAAATTATTATTCATTAGTTATGACTAAAGTGAATTCGATTAGATACACTCAATGTGCACTGATGCACATTAAAGCCATATACAAATTGACTTAAAAATACGGGTTTAATGTAAACATAAAAACGGATTAAACCATGAAATCTTCAATACATTTTATTAACTGTTAAGTAAAATCTGTATTTTATAATTTAAAAGATTTGCATCTTTTTTTACTTTTACATAGATTACATCTTAGTCAGAAATGACAATAGAATCGATGCCGTATCATGATTTCGTGAATTTGATGATTTCGACGTCGAATTGACATCGATTTGATGTCGATTCCATTGTCATTTCTCACTGAGATCAGTGTACAATGGCTTTAATATGAACTAGTGCGTTCAATCGAGTTCACTGTAAAAGTCCTAAAAACGTCGGAGAATTGAGTATGTCGATGCGTCTCCGACGTTGATTAACATTCCTTGCGAATAACGGCCTCAGCACAAAAATGACTGTAAATGAATCATGAAACGTGAGTCGTAATTATAGATCAAAACATTGTTGATTTACGATTAAACTCACGTTTCATCAGTTATCCAGCACCATCTTTGTGCTTATACGCACGGACGATTCGCGACAGACGATCGTTTAACCACAATGACAAATATCGTACGTGACGCTTTGCCTATAAAAGAAAACGAAAAAGGGCGAAAATAATAAATGACGACTCACAGTGACAACAACCACAAACTACGGTATTGAACAACGGCGTCAATGGTTGTTCAATTCCCTACAACTATCAGCTTTAGAATTCGTATGCTTTACTTGTTCTTACCGTACTATCGGTTATTCTTTATCATACTCTCATGTGTTTCATTTTTCGTTACAAAGTACAATATATTCTTATTGAGACGAGGTAACGCGAGATGCGTCGGCGACGCAAGATATGCATTCTCTTCTTTATAAAGAGAACAGCGAAGAGAACAAGAAATAATGTTACGTACGAATAAAGATATTTACATCGCTTATTGGAAAAAGGAAAAGGATCAAGAAGCGTTGAATGACAGAATTAATAATAGATGCAAAGTTACAAAAAGATTGTAATTATAGAAGTATAGTCATTAATAATAATAAGAGATTAGCAAAAACAAAGGAAGTTGATTAAATGTTTAGGATAGTAGCAGATGCAGTCGAATAGTATTTCGCGCTACCGACGCGCCATCGTCCGTTGCTTTTAAATATATATATGTATATATTATGCTCGTATAAATGGTTATGTTTCTAAAATTATTAACTGGTTATACACTTCGAGTAAGGATACACCCTAAGGTCTGTGTACGACGAGCTAGCTACGCGCCGATTACCTAATTAATTCGCGTAAGTGCGAGCGATTCCCAGCCCGCGTAAAGGACAAAACGCTCGCGAAACACGACTTTTGTCGTCCGAACGAAGTATTGTTTGCGTATGGATTGTTGTCAATTGTATTGTAATGATGTACTGCAGCTTCTTATTTGTATTTTATTGTAATGCAGAAGCTTGCAAGCTTCAAGCTTCAGTAAATTGCACACGCAGCGACAAGCTATAGAGTTATTGATACATCGCATTTAATAAAAAATCATTTAAAAAAGAAAAATCTTTGCACGCTTGTTACGGTGTTGAGTCTTCATTGTAAACCATGCAGAAGATGCTGCAGCAATACAACCGCGACGTCATCAACAATCAAAGCTATCTTTGTATTGGCTGCCTCGTTCTAGATTATAAATCTACAACGTAGGCTAAAATATGACATTAATTAACTTCGCGTTAGCTTTAATTCATGTCGAGATTTATTATTCCAAATTTTATTCAAATGATAATTTAATGCCCGTTCGCGTGCGTTTAGACGAACGACAGGCGGAGATCGAAGGCTCGATCATCGCGTTTAGTCCCTATTTCTGGAACATTAAAATTATACTATACAGTGTTACATCGTAACGTCCGTCAGCCTGATGTGTTACCCGATTAAATAGTGGCAGCTTCGTATTACAATTTACTTGAGCAGACTATGTAGGTACGTAAATCTCCTTGCGAATCTCACGCCCATCACGCGAATGATGTGTTCCTGTTTAGGAGATACCGAGTGCAATTAGTTCAAGCGACGACGCGACGTCGCCCCCAGTTCTCTCGTTTCAGAATTTCATAACGACATACATCGTTTTCTTTTTCGAGACAATTCTCACCCTTCTATCGATACTCTCTCTCTCTCTCTCTCTCTCTCTCTCTCTCTCTCTCTCTCTCTTTCTCTAGACAAACAATACGTTTTATTCTTCTAGTTTTTATCCTTCTCTAAAAGGAGCTTAACGTCCCACTCGTCATCTTTGAAATCGTCGATCGTATATTTTCGGTCACTCTTTACAAAATCGGAGCCCTTTTACCGTAATTTCGTCATTAAGGATAAGGAGATGAGATTGTGAATACTCCTAAGGCCAGGTCCGGGCTTTTGATCCTTAGGTTTTCTCTACGGTGCAGGGCTCAGGCGTGGACTACTGGGGCGGACACTTCACCACCGTTGTGGTAGCGAATTCGCTAAATTTCTTGTCAATGGGTACTCGATCGTCATAAAGAGTCGGTGCTTGTAGAATGATGCCTGCAGTACCCACCAAAACCGCCAAAGTGAAGATCCAGAGGAACAGGCGATCTAGCACCATCGCCACATATTTCCAATCCTCTTTTACCTGCGCAGAGGAATGATTTGATTGATTTATGGGAATATTTTCGATAGTGGCGAAGATAGTTTCAAGTTTTATACATAATCTAGATATTTACAAAGTAATAACTCCTTAAAAATTAAAATAATATTAATAAAAAGAACACAAAAAAATCGAAGATAACAAAAAAAAAAACAAAAAAAAAAAGAATCGGGCGTGGAAATGGATACGTAAATGAAATACATATAAAATAAAAATTAAGATACAATAAATTAATGCAATAAGAGCCAACATAGGATGTTAGTATGAAATTTGATTTATTCATAAATTGTCACAATCGCAAACGATTTCGGATTCTTATCAGTGCTAATTGTGTAAATCAAATTATAAATTATTAAAGATGCTAATGACAATTAGAATTGAACCAGCTGGGGGTAATGATGTATCAACGGTGTCATTGCATTTTCCGGTGCAGCAACACTGTGCAGCAATTTATCAAATCATTATTTTCAGTTACAATAGAAATAAAATTTACAACTTACATGAACGTTGAAGTATTTTTAAGCTATTAATATGTCGAAGAAACAAGAGGAGCAAGACATCACGCGCGCGCGCGCGCGGGGGAAAACCGGGGCATCATAAAGGACGGACTGTTAGTATCAGAAAGTCAAACTTTATTTATGATGGGAATATAAGCCTTGTGGAGGCCATCGGTGTCAGTTTGTAAATTGAGACCATTCTTCTGCTTTCTGATATTAAGCATCTCTGAAACCAAACGTCTCCGATAGCAAGGCTCTTCGTCTAAAATTACTCATCCCATTTAAATTCGTGATCAAGCCGTTTCCTACGCTCAGTTATGACAGAACGGCCAGAAGTGTTGTATCTAATGTGATTGCGATGTTCAGCAATCCTAGTCTTTAATTTTCTACTCGTCTGTCTCACGTATGACGCGTCACAATTATTACATGAAATCTTGTAGACCACGTTGTTCCTCGATGTATGTGGACAAATATCTTTCTCTACTTTGATGTATTTTTTCAATTTATTGGAACTACGGAAAGATATGATGTCGTTTTTATTGAAACGTTTGAACTTTTCCGTGTGGAAAAGGATGAATGGTACCGTAAGCCAAGAAATAGATTCATTCGTCCCGACATTGTCAGCCAAATTCTATGTGTTATGTGTCTATTTCTAATTAAATTTTTTATATTATACGTTGATTGACTGTGTCAACAATGAAGGTCAGTGGATAGTCATTGTCTAATAAAATGTTGATAATAAACGTCAAATTCTGTGTATGAAACCTAAAGTCTGATAATAAAAATACTCTGTCAATCAGTGAAAGAATCGTCCCTCTCTTTTGTGCCATGGGATGGTTAGAATTGAAATTCAAAGACCTCCCTGAAAAGGTCGGCTTACGTACCACTCAAAATCAAACCTGTTACCATTAATAGATATAGTAACATCCAGAAAATTAATTTCGTCTCCCCCCAATTCTGAAGTAAATTGTAAACGCGGATGGAATGAGTTAAATTGTTCTAATACCAAGTCAATTTTCGAGAAAACAACCGCAGTACAAATGTCATCCATCTGAAATAAAATGTTGCATCTAAGTCCAATGACATCAAGGACACTGTCTCCTCATCCCAAGGCCGCTATTACAGGTGATAAAAGATAGCCCATGGGAGTGCCAAAGTTTTGCTTATAAATTACATTGTTAAATGAAAAAAATGTGAAATCGAGAATGAACTTTATTGCTCCCAAAAACTCCTCTCTCGGAAGAGGGCAATCCCTGGAAATGAAACCCCACTGTTCATTAACACAGTCGACAGCTATCTCCATTGGAACATTCGTGAACAAAGATTTAACATCCAATGAAATTAATTTGTATTCGTCTGTAATGTGTAACCTTTTTAATTTTTCGACTAGTTCAAAACTATTTTTAATGTAACTGTTCGCTTTGGGAATGGATTTGAATAGTATGTTATGCAAATATGTAGCCAATGGATACAGCGGATTACCTATCGAAGAGACGATGACCTTTAGAGGACAACCAGGTTTATGAATCTTCGGCAATCCATAGACTGTCGGAAGTGATCCATCACTACAATATAACGTTCTGTACTTAGTTTCGCTAATATAATTTTTTGTTTTCCATCTGGTGAGCATAGACCTTAAAGCCGTCGTGAGTTTCTTAGTAGGATCTTTATTGATCAGAGAATATGTGTCTACGTCACTTAATAAAGTGGTCATTTTGTTCAAGTACGCGTCTTTGTCCAAAGCGACCGTGACGTTGCCTTTATCCGCGTGTGTAAAAATGATGTTGGTCATATCATAGATTGACTGTTTAATATTTAGATTAATATAACTGGTATTATACAATTGTTATTTTGTTGCTCATTTTTCGTATCTGAATGGCAATAATTAAACTCCGTTGTCTCAGAACGCTTCATTAAGATTTTTGTGATGCAAAAATAATTATGTAACCATTTAAAATGCTTTAATATTGTCTTTGTGGTAAAAGATACACGTATTAAAGGTCAGGTATAAGTTTCTATGCATACTTTCTCATCTTATTGCAAATAATCATCTGTCACGACTATCACTCATTTTTTTGGATATGTAATATACAATATATACTTTATCATATTTTTTATATAAGGGCGGTATTCATAGTCTATCCTTATTATAAGACCTTCTTAAGTAATGCCTTAAGATGCCAGATCGGCTGTCTGATTGGTTCATTGCATCTTGAGATTGTACTTAAGACAGTCATAAATATAAGATCTGACTATACCGCTCTAAAAGTGTTCAGGGCACCATCGATCACACTCTAAATGCACATGAGAAAACGAACTAACCTATACCTACGCTAGAATGGCAGTTTATAAGCGTAAACATTATTTAATTTTATTTTACCTTCATAAGTTTTCTATCTATTTATTGATTAATAATAGACTTATTTATGGATTTTTTATTCTATTAATTAATAATTATAGTTAATAGTTATAATATATTATGTTTTATCATATTAATGACTATGCTGAGACTGTGTAAGTTACTTAAAATTTCTTTTCAACTTTTATTACTGTTATTTCTTAAACTTATATGCCTAAACTTTTAATGTGTAATCCATATTGCCTTGAATATGAAGCATCTTGGATGATTCCTTAAAAAATATATTTTTATTTTTTCCTTAAAAATTAATTAATATATATTTATTAAATATATTTAATATATAAAATATATTTTTATTTGTATTTTTAAATATACGTAATTCTTTAATACGCAATTTTCTATATAAAAAAATGAAATAAAAAGATCTTATATTTAAAAGTACTAAATTTTTGTAGAGCCCGGTCTTTCTTATTATGTATAAAAGAAAAGCGATAACCGATCAAATAAAATTTTTATTAAAAGTTATGTTTCTCTATTTATTTCAATAGATTTTATACCTTAGTCGAGTCTTCCAGCATTTTGGTATGCTCCGCAATGAAGCGCACGCAGATGCAGGATCTGTGTACTTCCGGTGGACAACGGGAGTGCGAGAAGACGGGTGGGCTGCGCAGCGGGGGACTCTTGACTTCCTCTATGCCTGCGTCTCCAGAGAGATCTTCGCACTCGGTGTGTAACGGTAACGGTGGTAACGGAGGACCATGAATCAAGCAGCTGCCTCCAAATCTCGCATCGTCTGTAAGGCTGAAATAATCGGAGACATTGTTAGTTGTGTTCCTTGCTCGTTACTTTTAGTATCGTGAACGATATTTTTATCACTATTATTATAAAAAAGAGAATATTTTATTCAAGCTTAAATTTATAATTATAAGTAATAAATACGGCTAAAAAAATAAATCAAAACAAATAAAAAAGAAGGGCTACGAGCCAAACAATAACATTTAATGTTCAAATAACAAATATATATTTCGACAACGATCGTGTCATTTTTAATGTACAAACAAAAATAAACTTAATTTTGAACAAATGATCATTTAACGGCATATAATTACAAAAAAAAAGGAATTAACATGATTTGTTATCTCTTAGATGGTGACCCTTATAAATATCTGTCGCCACAGTTGGTATGTAATTGAGTCATACTTTATAGTCATTTGATGAAATTGCAGATTATAATCAAGAGATCTGTTAATGGAACACAATATAACTTAATAAAATTCAGTATATAATCATAAAAAAGTCGCAATTAAAACAGTTACTGATATATAAAGTAAAGTATATCCTTTTAAAATGGTCGGAATCGAATTACAAAAAATACACAATTTAAAATAATATAATTGAGAAAATATATAAAATCACAGAAAGAAGTAGACTATGTATACAGTTATAACAAAATCGCAATTAAATTATAACCAATGCTAATATACAAAAGACAATAACAATATATATTAATGTAAGACGATCTCAATCAAATTACCAAATACACAAATTAAGATGAAATAAAAATTAAAATAATTATACCTTAATCTAAGTCATATTGTTTGTTACAATGGTGTCAATTAATATAATCAGTTTTGTATCGCCAAACAATACATATACAAATAGGTAAAATGCGAAAAAGTTTTAAAACGAAAGAACTGGAAAGGATATGGATAGGAGTCAAGCGCAAAAGACGTCGTGCAAATAATATATCTATGAAGTGTAAAACTTCGTTATTCACTAAAACGCGCTTACATGTTTCGGCTTACTTTTGAGTCCTCCTTAGAGACAATACAAACTTACATAAACTGTGAATAAAAATTATCTTATCATGAGCTCCTCTACTTCGGGAATTTAAATGTCAGAATTAAACCCAAAAAGAGTGAAAGAAAAAGAAAAAAGAGAAATGAACGAAGAAAAAGGAAATAATCGAAATATCGAAATAGGGAATGTGAAAAATTCATTCAACAAAAACGTTATCAACAAAAACCTTAAGATTATAAATAATTATCCCGAAAATAAGAACGCTCACCTTGATCACAAATCACAAACTATATCGCAAATATTACTATGAATTATTCAAAAACGATCAATTCAAAAACCAGTTTTCGATATTTTTTTTGGCCAGTCATTGTCAGACACAGTGAGTCACTTTTAGTTTTAGCTAGTATTATTGAAGCTTACAAATAAAAAATTTTGCATTGGAACGTTAATCAATTCCATGAAAATGAAAGTTGGAAAGTAATAAAAAATCATGCCAGAAAGACTCATTACTGCGTACCAACGACACTGACTGACTAGACGTGACAACAACACAAGTCTTTATAGCTTGTCTATAATCAGGAGGGTAGGCCTTGGGAAGCCCCTCCATATCCGTCTGCAAGTTGAGTCCGTGCGTCTGTCTCCTGATGAATATCATCTCCGAAATCAATCTCTTCCTGTAGTTGATATTTTGTTGATATTTGAAATGTGTTCATGCAATTTTGTTTTTAATTTCCTTTTTGTTTGGCCCATGTAATTAACCTCACAATTCTCACATGATATTTTATGAACCATATTCTGATTAGATAATAATTCGAGTTGATCCTTTCCTTTTTTTATGAAACTTTTAAGAGTATTTGAAATGGTAAAGGCTTACAATTTGAATTTCATTACTATCGATAAGAAACTTTCAGATATTGATTTTACATAAGGAATGATAAAGAATTTTTCTTTAGTATGTCCATGATTTTTTTTATGTATTATATTCGTATTGTTAATATGATATTTTATTCTTTTTTGTATGGTAGAAAAAATAAACTGGAGTGGATAGCCATTGCTTAAGAAAATGTTAACAGCATTGATAAAATTTTTTCGGTGGAAATGAGAATGGGATAGTAGAATAATCTTATCCACCATGCTGATGATAATGCCTCTTTTATGACACACATGATGATGTGAATGAGAATTAAGGAACCTAATTTAGATAATGAACCATCATATAATAAAAGATTAATATCAGAAATGGTTCACATTAAAATGCAAAAGCAAGGTTTAAATAGACAGGTTGAAACTGAATTGCTACCTGAACCTTATCACCAAATTATAAAATCACTCTCCCCCTTTTAATTCATTTCCTATTCCTTGTTTTTCCTCTTGCTTCTACCTTCCCAATTTTATTCCCACTATTTTTACTTCATGCAGTCTTCCTTTCTCTCTGCTTCGTCTTTTCATTTCATAATAAAGGGTGGGCCATCTATTGGTACGTTTTTGAATTTCGTCGTATGGCAACACCAAACCGAATGGCATACTGTAAGGCCAGTAGAGGGAGCCACATGAACGAAATCGTTTTTCATTCTTGACGCGGATACTTTTAGCTTCACAACAAAAAAAAAATTAATAAAAAATATCAATGTATGCTCATTTGATCGCATTTTTAAAAACGTACCAATAGATGGCCCACCCTGTATA